CCTGGAGCCAGTATTCAAATGCACTTGACTTAGCAGAATTTGGCTGTGGCCCTGGGTGAGCAGCGAAGGAGGATCAAATTGTTAACACTTAGCGTTTACTCCATGCCAGCACTGTCCCAAGGACTTCACAGTTATTAACTTACTTGGATCTTACAACCCGCTGAAGTTATTCCTCATTTTGGTCTCATTTTACATACAAGGTAAGCAAGGCACAGACAGGTTAGGTAACTTGTCCAAAGTCACAGCATTAATAAATGGTGCAGTGACATTTGAACCCAGGTCATGCGGATCCAGAGCCCACATGCCAAAACATGATGTTTTTCTGCCTTAGAGACATGAGGTCTTAAGAGAAGCAGTGTGCTTTGCAGAGTAGGGCCCACATAAACACCAGCAGAGTGAGCAAGCCTTTTCCCTCCATCTACTCTGGGCTCCTCGAGGGCAGAGTGTGTCTCGCCCGTCTTCGTAACCCCCAATGACTATCATGATGCCACTTAATAATGTTTGTCAAAAGAATGTGAGCAGTCATCCCACCCATACCCAGCGGAATGTCATCCATGGCTTCAGATGACACTGCCACCTGGGGTGTAGCCACATTTCCTTTATAAAAGATTTTCCTTCCTTGACTACAAAATATATGTTTGTTGCAGAAAATTTGGAAAATACAGAAATGCACAGAACAAGAAAACAACTGACCTGGAAACCTGTTAACCAGGGAAAAAAAAGTACTATTATCTTTTTTATTCATATCTTTGTTTTTTTCCTGAGCTACATAGTGTGTAAAATTCTGTTTCTCAAACAAGGCAGCCCATATCATCTTGCTAGTACTTAGGGAACTAGTCCAGTAAATGTCTCAAAAGGAAAAAAAACTGTTGGGGGCCAGATAACATGGTTTCTGCAAGAGGGGAAAAAAGTCTTGAACATTTTATTTGGGCTTTTTGAGGGACTAGTAGGCACTTGGGCAACGTAGCCTCATTGGATTTTCAGAGAAGCTTTGACAAGGTTCTACAGAAAGAGGAATACACATGGAGAAAGAGAAAGGAAGATGATGGCTGGGTGTGGTGGCTCTTGCCTGTAATCCTAGCACTTTGGGAAGCCGAGGTGGGTGGATCACCTGAGGTCAGGAGTTTGAGACCAGCCTGGCCAACATGGCGAAACACCGTCTCTACTAAAAATACAAAAATTAGCCAGGCATAGTGGTGCGCTCCTGTAATCCCTGCTATTCAGGAGGCTGAAGCATGAGAATCACTTGAACTCAGGAGGCAAAGTTTACAGTGGGTCGAGATGTCACCACCGCACTCTAGCCTGAGCAAAAAAGCAAGATTCCATCTCAAAAAAAAAAAAAAAAAAAAATGCCGGGGGAGATGACATATATTTAATTTGCTTCTCTATGAGGTGTGCACGTGTGGGTGCTGGGGGATAATAGGGCTGTTTTATTTTTCTTCCACAGAATATGAAGAAACAATAGCTATGCATAAATGGGTACTGCTGTGGATACAGTGTAAGAACATTTCCTTAGGAATGATTAGGACTATTTGAACTTAACAATGTGAGGGAGAAAGCACTTGTCTGTGGGTGGCTTTAAACTTTAAGGTGGCAAAAAGCCAAGCAGGCAGGGCTCCATTACAAAGGAGAGTGCATGAGTCTCTGTGATTAACCAAGGAGACACTGCTACATTAAAACAAGAACAAGGCCTCACATTGAAGAAGAAATTGTCCAAACTCGCTTTATAAAATGAATGACTCTGGCTGTCAGCTCATTTTGTTGCTCTCTGTTTGCACATATTTGGAATCACCTAGAAAAGTATTTGAAAAAAATTTTTTTAAATGATCCTTTTGTACCTAAAGGCTGAGAATAGAGTGTCTTGCTCTGGTTGGCACAACTCCCAGAGCTGCAAATAGACCTGGAGAATGTCCAGTGGTAACTCCGAGATGAGAAGCACCTAGAAGGATGGGTCCGAAAGTGAAAGAGGTGATCTTGAAGAGTCTGGCTGGGAGACAAGGAGGCCTCCGCAAACAGTCAGACCACGAGTGGCACAGAAATCATAAGCAGGGATTTTTTTTCTTCACCATATTCTGAAATTCTTAAGTGAGGGAAGCTTGGATCAAATGAAAGGAAATGCCATTTCATGCCACAGATAGTAAAAGTAAAGAAACTTGTTACTTTCAACATGTGGTTCTGGCAGAAGATATAAATAGATCAGAAAGGATCTAAAGGACTTGCAGCTGCCAGGAGAAGCTTGGACCTGCCTGATCTTAAGGCACAGAAAACAATGCTCCTTCCAATGGACACCTTTGGGGCCATTGCTGCCAGGACAGCCCAAACTCAGGGCCAGGCTAAGAATTGCCATGGATTTGGCTGTGGGGACTTCTGGTTTGCTCCTGTCCTTCCACCCCGCTTCCTTCCTTTGTTGGAGCCTCCATCGGTTCTTTGGCTTCTAACTAATGATATGAGATCAGAGTGTTTCAATGTAGAACATTATCTAGGGAAGAGGGGAAACATGCCTAATACCATTTCATTCATTCATTCAGTGACTATGACTAAGCACCTACCATGTGCCAAGTGATTGGAATGAAATAAAAAGCTGTCATGATCCTCAGGGGCATGAACAATAAAGACAACAAATGAATACGTAATTATGAACTATAGCAGTGCCAGAAGGCAAGGAACACCAAGCTCTGAGAATAAATAAACGTCTGTGTGTGTGTGTGTGTGTGTGTGTGTGTGTGTGTGCGCGTGCACGCGCACGCAGCAGGACTGGGAGAAGACTTGAAAAAGCCGGCTAGAAAAAGACTCCCTGAAAAGTAAGTAGTTAGTCTGGGAATTAAAGGGTGAGTGGGACCCAGCCATGCCCAGTGTGGTGAGAATATTCCCAGCAGAGTAAAAATGCGCACAAGGGTCCCAGGGTGGGAATGAGCTTGGTGTGTTCAAGGGGTAAAGAGGCCCATGTGGCTGAACTTGGAGCAGAGGTGGGCAGGGAAGTGTGGGTGGAAGTGGAGGGTCAGGTAGAGGCCAGGTCACACAGGAACAGGACCTTGTAGGTCACAGCAGGGAATTTGGATGTCAGATGAAATCCAAATGAAACGAGAGAGTTTAAGTCATTTATTCTTTTAAAAAATCAAGTGATACATCTTTTAAAGTAATTGTACTTGGACATGACTGGCTGTGTGCTGCACTCTTGTGTGCTGTTCATTACTCAAATATATAACATATTCCCCTTTGGCTGTGGTAGGGATCTCTGATAACTGGAAAAGTCTTGAGAATGGGGGACCAATTGGTAAATGGACAGGGACTTGATAATTACTTGCACTCCGAATCTACATCCATTATCTCACTCTCCAATGAGCTGAGAGCCGGGGATGCCCATTAGGCCTTCAGCAGAGCTTTTAGGTGTCTATTTTCTCTCTGTGCTCTCTTCCCTCTGCTTCTCTGACTCTGTTCTCCACTCCTGTATGGTGCTTGAGATCCCCTCACAAATAAATTACTTTCATTGAAATCCATGTCTCATGGGCTGCTTCTGGGGAGACCCAACCTGAATATTAGCCTGAGTTTAAACAAAGAAGAAAAGAGCAAGCTTGCCGAGCTTTCTGGCATCCATTAAATCTAGGCTTTCTTCTCCCAAAAGGGGTGGGTGATATTATCAAATCCTAACTCTGAAGCAGCTGGGAAGCTGTGACAAACTTGGAGTCAAAGGCGACCATGTTGCTCCTAGGGACCACATTCTATCGGCTCCATTAACAGCTGATGAAATGCAAGTGAAGATTGAGAAGGTCAGACTGTAAAAAGAATATTTCGATATGCTGTGAATAGATGTGAATTAGATAAACTGGTGGGAAAGGGGAAAAGAATACTAATGGAATCATTCAAAAGGAAATCTGTGTCAGGCAGCTGTAATAAATGACTTGTAATAAATCTGTCAGAAGTTTTCATATTTTTCCTAACCTCCTTGACCAAAGATCTCTTGTGACTTATAATGGCTTGCAATCCAAATAATCAAACGTTCACAAGCTAACCAAGAAGAGAACCTTTGGTGCAGAATAGGAATAAATACTTCTTAATTTAATAAATCTTCTGACACAAAATATTTTGTGAAACACCTTTTTATTCACATAATTGTGAGCGTTTTTTATTTTGTCTCATAATAAAGCTATCGAGGTGTCATTGTTCTAGAGCCAAAACTTTCTGATTCTCTTTATGGAGCTTTTAAAATCATGGAATAGAAAAACAGGATATAGTGTTTTGCTAGGGACAAACTTAACCAGTAGAAACAATTCGATGCAATGATTGATTCTGTAATTTTGAGGACTTCAACTGTGGGACCAAACCAAATACAAGAAACAAATATTAGACAAGAGACACATATGATGATGGAATCCTAGGAGGCTAAATTCAGTCAGAAAACCCTCCCCAGTGTCATCACTGAGTCTAACTCAAGGCCATATTACTAAGTTATGACTTAATGCTATGGCAAAATTTTATAGTGATGTCCATATGTTAATCTTTGAAACAAGTACATTCTTTTGTATGCATTATTAAGTGTTGTTCAAGCCCAACACATCAGAGCAGGACTAGCTAGACTCAGGGCCAAAAGTGGAAGAAAAGAGGTATTGAAATAACGAAGGATAGAAGGAATCCTTCTCAAATCAGCTCGAAGCCTAGGGAATCTCTTTAAATGCCTTTTGCTTCGATGGGCGAATGAAATTATGAAATCATAAAAAGAAAAAGGGAAGGGCTAACAAGAGCCAACAAAAGCAGGAAGTGACCTGCTAGTGATTTTCCAAAAGATGTATGCATGGCAGATCCTGGGAATGAACTCTAACATGGCTCATTCTTGCTTCTTTAGGTAGTTGACATGTGATACCCATTGGAATTTAAATGATCAATGAAAGCATGTTTTAAATCAGTATGGAAAGTTTTAAATTACTGGCATGTTTATGTTGTGTGAGACCCTTTTTACATTGGAAGTAGCTGTGTTCTGCCAAATCACATGTCCTCCAAAAACCATGAACCCAGAATTTCAAATCAAGCTTTCAAAGAAGTCAGAGTGCTTTCTTGTGAGAAACTGTGAATTTGAAAGTATGAGGGGGACAGGAAAGTGGGTCATACTTCGTGGAAAAAAATTTGGCACCTAGGTCATGGGCACATCTGTCTTCTGGTTCTTTCCTTTTCTTAATTTCAAGTCCTGAAATAATTCAATTTAAAAACTTACTACAGTCTGAGACACCTTAGAACTTTTAATGAGAAGGTAAATGTGACGCCATATTAATTTTATGGTCATGGTGAGGAAACTGCAGTTTCAAATTACATCTTCAGATTTGGTAAGTAGACTTCAGTATCAAGGAAGGAGAATGGCTTTAGTTGTCCATTGTCGGAATCCTAGGACATACTGCTGGACTCCAGGGAGCAGCCCAGTGCATGGCTGGCTGCTGAGAAACCAGCTGAACCCCACGCTGACCAAATCATGTGGAGGAGCATAGACCAACAGGACAAACAAGACTCCAGGGCCAGGTTCTTGGCCTGACTCTGCCTCTTCGTGTGTCACCGCGAATACTCTTTATCTCTCTGTGCCTTGGTTGCTCATCTCAAAACTCCAGCCCTCATAGTTTATGAGTCTACAAGCCATGGAGAAAGAAAATAAACAGGAGAAGCTTAAAGTATTAGGGGTCCCTATGAATGACCCTAAGCCTTGTTTCTTATGGAAACATATTTGCTGAGAAGAATTGACCTGAGTTGGTGATGGGATTATTGGTGGGTGAAGTACATTTTCCTTTTTATACTTTCTTGTTTGTTTATGTTGTCTACAATGAGAATGTCTTGTTATGATAAAAATGTATGGGTAGGGGCAGATAAAGTTAATACCAAGGAAAAACAAAAGCAAAGATCTGATCTCAGTCTAGGAGTATGAGATATTTCTTGGAAAGCATCCATCTCATCTGCTTGGGTGTGTTTCCCTGGGTCAGACCCATATTTAGGATCCTGGGGTATCCAGCTGCTTCTAAGAGGTACCAGGTTATCAGTTCACCATCAGGGTGGGCAGGTGGAGTCAATGTCAACTGGGACTTGTTGAGACTTTGTGTGCTTCTCTTGATAAATGGCCCAGGGCCAGGTGAAATTTACATGGCGGGAATAGCCTGGCAGTCTGGCGGGATTTACTCAGGTGAGCATTGTGCTGTTTTTCAGCTCGCCCGTGCTTCGTGGGGGAATGGAGCCCCTGGAGTGGTTGTGCAGACCAGTGCAAGCCTACAACCCGTGTGCGGAGGCGCTCGGTGCAGCAGGAGCCTCAGAACGGCGGGGCGCCCTGCCCACCCCTGGAAGAGAGAGCCGGCTGCCTGGAGTACTCCACCCCACAGGGCCAGGACTGCGGGCACTCCTATGGTACTGATGTTTTCATGATTGCTGCCTCTGTTACCTGTGATGACTTTTTGACTACTTCATCCCATAAAAGGCCATCTGCTGTTCAGGGAAAGTTCCATGCACCACAGGGAGTGGGATGTGCCAGGCTGCCCAAAGTAGATAGGAAGCTCAGGAAATGCTTAATAAAGGAATTATGGCCAGCTGTGCAAACGCCTCCGTTTCCCTCACTTCCCTCGGTGTATTTTACAATCCGATGGCCCATTCTCACTGTGCATAGACTCAGCAATGAAATAAATCCCATGCTTGTGGTTTTGAGTGAACTCAGTCAAGCTGGTGATAAAGGACTTTAGATAGGATGGTGACATTTCACACAGAACAGTAAGTGTCCAGGAAGAATAACACTATTTCACCTTCCACTTCAATTCCTGTTTCATTATGCACACTCACATGTGTGAAAATCGTGGAAAAATCACAAAATTCTAAACAATGATAAAATGATTGTTTTATTATTTTATTATTTTTATTATTTTTTTTTCATGATTCCTTTTATCTGCCTCTCCTCTCAAGACTGGATCAGGGCTAATGTGATTTGAAAAGATCAGTCTGGTTTTGGAGTGGCCAATGGAGAGGACCAGAATCGGCTCATTAATGAGCTGAGGATCATACAAGTCTCACAGAGAAATAAATGAAAAAGCTCATGTGTTGATCTGCACTGACTCCAACAGGACAAAACACTGACTTCTCAGGATAGCAAAAACCATATGTGTTTCATGGGAACATGGAAATTTCATGTCAACACGATCCGTATCAAGCCATTTTGTTCCTTCTTTTTTTCCACACACGAATATTTATTGAGCATCTACTTGATGCCAGGCGCTCGGCTGGGTGCTGGGGTCACAATGGTGAGAAAAGTTGGTGTGGAGCCGGCTGTCAGGTGGATCATTGCCTAGTGAGAGGGGTGCAGTCATCAGATAATCTCAGGGAATTAATGGATTACAGCTGCAGTAATTGGTGCACCTGGTAGCAAACAAGTGAGACGTGCATGGAGCTAACAGCAGGTGTAATCAGGTGATTCCCCTTGGTCTTGAGGGAGGAGGAGGAGGGGCTTCCCCAGAGATGGGGCTGAGATATGTATAGCTGCCTAGGCAGGCAGACTGGTGTGGTTAAACTGATGGCCAGGGATAGAGGGTTTGAGGGATTTGAAAGCTGATCAAGGGAAAAGCTATAGCCACAAGAGGCAGTAGCACAGCAGGCTTTCCTGGGCAATGCTTGGACAGGGCTGCACGAGAGGGGACATCCTCACAGCATGAGACTGCCCAGAGACTTATGGTGGGTTAGGGAGGGGGGGCCCAGCTAGGAGGGGAGGAGGGCCCAGCAACTCCTGAGGGAGAGGGAGAGTAGAAAGGGGCTTTAAATGTCAAGGTGAGAACATCTTAAATGTCAAGGTGAGGTCATCCAGTGGCTCATTTGGGAGTCTCTGGGTCAGAGACCTCAGAAGGGCAGCAGCATCTTGGGGGCTGATAACACAAGGCCTATCGGTGGCCAACAGATGCTGGGTATAGTTTCACAGGTGTGCAGGCAGGCAGGCCCTAAGTGGCTAAACATCTGCTTGTTTGGCTATTTAAAAACAGTTCCATGTGTCAAAAAACTGAATTTGGTGCAGCATGTTTTTGAACTAAAGGGTCTTAGCCTGGGGTGAGGAATAAGCATCATTGGCTCATTTATGTAACATGGGGAAGCACAAGGCCCGCTTGAGAGGACAAAGGAAGGTGGGCATGTGGGGCGCACAGAGAACAACCTATTTGGGATTCTGGGCTTTATCTTAGGGGCCATTGGCGTGGTCTTTTCTGCAGGGGAAAAGATCACTCTGGTAGTGGAGGGGCGAATGCAGGGGTCAGAGTGTTGTTAACCCATTGATACGGTGGTCATATTAAGGTCACAGGGAGATCATTCAGTGCTTCAGACTTGGTTGCTCACAGACACAGTCATAGAACAAAACTATACTCAGTCATGCTTTCTGGAGAGACACCACACAAACAGCCCCAGGAGGAAGATGCTGTAGGACGTTATGGATGTTTCTGGTGGTTCTTAAAAGCTAGTACCAACCTATCAGGAAAAGCAGCTGCCTACTCCTGTGCCCGCCTGGCTGCTAGAGGGTTTCTTCAGCACATCAGACTCTTCAATGGGGATCCAGGCTGTCACACTCCCCTTCCTAGCCCTAATCTCTACACCGGGACAATGCAGGAAGTTGTTAGCAACTGTGTCTTAACATCAGCAGGACATATCTGCATCCAACAGCCTCCTTCCCCATTATCATAAAATAAAAGATGTCAGCTTGGGAAGAGAGGAGAAATCTCTACTTGAGGTAGACCTGCTGGCATTTGCAGTCCTGACTTTGGTCCCCAGCATCCCCTCCTGTTGGAGATGTCTTGGTGATGTTTACTCCTGTTACAAACTAGTTGGGGAAGACAGAACCCTTCAACAACCCTGTGTGGTGATTCCTAACCGGTGGTCCTGGACCAGCAGCCTCAGGATCTGGTTCCTCAGCCCCGCCCAGAACCATGGGATCATAATCCCTATGAGCAGGCCCAGCACTCTGCATTCCAGCAAGGCCTGCAGGGGCTCGGATGCTCACTGGAGTTTGAGAGCTGTTGATGTGGCCCCAGTGTGACCAACACCCTGTCATAGCTGGGTCACCTTAGCAGCACTTTCCTGAAGGCAGAAGTTCCCAAAACGCATCCTCTTTCGTTAGAATAGTTGCGCAAAAAAGGGGATTATTAGGAAAATATGGGATAAATCAGACAGTTTTCTCTACCAAAGAAACTTTCAGAGCCTTTGTTATGCAGATCTGCATTTTCATTCTGTAAGAGAGAAAGAGGATTTCCAGTGTTTTCCCACTTAATTTGATTATATGCCCCCTTTTTCCACAGAGCGTCCCACTACAATCATTCATGTGCTGTGGAATGCTCTTTGGAAAATGATGGCTTACTAGAGGAAAACAAGAGGGACTTGAGAGGCAGCCACGTGAACATTCAATTTGGTGGATTCTCCAGGGGTCCCAGGCCCTGTTTCACTCCAGCCACTGTGCATTCACTTATGTCTCTCCACCCCTCCCCTCTCTTCTACTCTCTCCTCTCTCCTTTTTTCTGATGGAGTTTCGCTCTTGTTGCCCAGTGTGGAAGTGCAATGGCACGATCTGGGTTCACCGCAACCTCTGCCTCCTGGGTTCAAGCAATTCTCCTGCCTCAGCCTCCCGAGTAGCTGGGATTACAGGCACGCACCACCACGCCTGGCTAATTTTGTATTGTTAGTAGAGACAGGGTTTCTCCACGTTGGTCAGGCCGGTCTCAAACTCCTGACCTCAGGTGATCCGCCTGCCTTGGTCTCTTGAAGTGCTGGGATTATAGGTATGAGCCACTGCTCCTGTACTTACATGTTTCATTAATTTAACACTCACTGAGCACCTCCTGTGTGTGTCAGCACTGTGCTAGGTTTTAGAGATCTAAACTTGATTAACAAACATATCACAGCTAAACAGAACTCACGGTGGTGAGCTCTGGGATGGAAGGAAACACGGGTTGGTATGGGAGCATGGAGAAGAAGCCCCCACACAACCTGGAGGTTCTTATCCTGCTACATGGTCGCCTACGTCCCTGTTACTGCCTCCCACCCCCACCAGACTTCCTGTTCACAGAGCAGGCACCTTTGTGGGTGGCACACGAATCCCTCACTTTTGCACAGCAAAGAGATTTTATAGATATGATTGGTTCAGCCTTCGTAGCAGCCCTGTGAAGGAGTGTATTCATTTTCTATGGTGGCTGCCACAAATTACCCCAAACTTAGTGGCTCAAAACAACACAGATTTATTATGTTACAGTTCTGAAGGTCAGAATCTGACATGGATTTCCCCGGGAAAAAATGAAGGTGTCAGCTGAGCTGCAGGCCTCTCTGGAGGCTCTAGGAGACACTCCTCTTCCTTGCCTTTTTCACCTTCCAGAGGCCGCCCACATCCTTTCCTCATTTCCACTGTCTCCATCCTCAGAGCCAGCAACACTGCCTTATTTATCTGTGTCTTATTTTCATTGCCACATTTTTTTTTTTTTTGAGACAGAGTCTTGCTCTGTTGCCCAGGCTGGAGTGCAGTGGTGCCATCTCGGCTCACTGTAACCTCTGTCTCCTGGGTTCAAGTGATTCTCCTGCCTCAGCCTCCAGAGTAGCTGGGATTGCAGGCATGCACCACCACACCCGGCTAATTTTTGTATTTTTAGTAAAGACAGGGTTTCACCATGTTGGCCAGGCTCTGACCAACTCTGTCTAAGTCTCCTGTGATTACATTGGGTCCACCTGAATAACCCAGGCTACTCTCATTATTTTAAGGTCAGCTGAGCAGCAACCTTAATTCCACCTGTAACCTTGATTCCTTGTTCCCATGTAATATAACATATTCATAGGTTCTGGGGATCAGGACACGGACATCTTTGGGGGACCACAGTTCTGCTTCCACAGAGAGGTAGGACTGAGTCATTCTCCTTGGTTTATACCTGAGGACATACATTGGAGTTCCGAAAAGTGACAGCTTGTGTGAAGAACTACGGAACTTAAACCTGGATCTTCTGGCTCTAAGTCCTATGGGATTTTCCCACCTCAATATTGTTTTGCCATTAACTGTCATCATTACAGCTAAAATTGTAACTACAGATTCTCCTAAGTAGAAATATAAAGGCCCGTCAAGCCAGTGAAGGAAGCATGATCCCTGAAGCTCTCTTATTAATGATTGAGTAGCTATTTCCTTTCCCTGTTTCATTTAATGCATAACATGATATTTTTATCATAAAAACAAATCTAAAAAGCTGCCTTACTGAATATGTTACACATCATTGACAATTGTTTATATATGTGTGTTTTCCTCCTAAAAGGAGATCAATGTGCATTATTATAAGCCATATGCTTCTAGGTAAATATTATTTGTCAATTTTTCATTTTACTCTCTTCTGCGCTATATCTACAGACCAGTGATCCCATGCCTGCTTTGGTGACACCCCGTTGTGTCAGAGGGCGTTACGAAATTCTCAAAGCAAATTTAATTTACTTTCATGTTCAAAGTAAGTATATGCAGTGCCCAGCTTTTAGAAGTGGAAGTTGTTGCAAAACCAAACAATGGTAGGCCAATAGAACGCCAGAAACGTTGGCAGATCGCCTGTGAACAAAGAATATATTGCATTTGAATACTGTTGCCAGGAAGGAGAACTTAGATTTATTGGGGGCCTCTGTCCCAGGGATGCCGGGTCACATGCCTCCGCACATTAGCAGAAGTGGGGCAGGAGGCACAAACAATTTCTAAGCTATTTCGTTACTGAAGTGATGAAAATTGAATTTGGGGGGGTGTATTAAAAAGTGGTGCTGGTTCAGGGACCTCCAGGCAGTCTGGCTCCTGTGAGGAGAGGGATCTTGGCAATAGAATGTGCCACCAAACAAGCCCAAGGCCTGAGTACCTGGCTTGCTCTTAGGATGCGCCCTAATCCCAAGAGCATGGAACTGAGCTTGATAGAAAGTCTTAAAAAAAATGATGGGCCAAGCTCAGTGGCACATGCCTGTGATCCTAGCACTTTGGGAGGCTGAGGCAGAAGGATTGCTTGGGTCCCAGAAGACCAGCCTGGGTGGCAGATCGAGACCCCATCTCTATCACAAACAGAAAAAAAAAAGGAAAAAGGAAAACAAAAATGAAAACCCTCAAGTGCCCCTAAGAACATAGCTTCTGTGCTGGGTCCTTGCTTAGTCACTTACCATTTCTTTTCCTTTCATTTAGCCTCTGTGAGCCTTAGTTTTCTGATGTATGAAATTGGTATAACACATTTTTATTAAGGTTGGTAACGTATGTTGTGAAATTACTTTGTAAGTGAGCAGGCTACACACATACCAGGGGCCATGGTACCAAGGGGGTGACCCTGCACCCACTGTGTGCCCTTCCTGGTCCCCCACCTCTCTCATGGCCTGAGGGCACTCCAGGTACAAGGTGCTAAAAGTGTCTCTTTTGCTTTCTTAAATCTGACTTCACATAGAGCATAGTGATTAGCGACAGAAAGGGAATATAAAGCCGAATTGAAATAATTCATAGGAAAGATGCATACAGCACTGGAACTTTGTCATCTGTGTTATTATAGAGGCGGTGGAGTGCCACCCTGGGGAGTTTGATTTCGGGACATTGCCTGGCTGTGCTATATTTAGATGTGAGCCTTAAACACATTTCTTAATCTCTCTGTGCCACAATTTTCTCATCTGTGAAATGAAGATATAATAGGAACTATCTCAAGAGGCTTGTGAGAATTAAATGAATTAATACATGAAAAGTAACTTAGAGTTGTCCTTGGAAGCTTAGACGTGCATAATTGTTGGCTTTTGTTTTGCTTGTTTATTTTTTCCTTCTAACCACTATACTAACGAGGATGGCTTTTGTTATTATTATAGAACCTTTTCCAAGAATTTTGTATCAGAAACTAGAGTCATATATTTATGTTTTTTCTCTACTTCATAATCTTTTTCTGAGCTATAAATTAAATACCTTGCCTTTAAACTTTTGTAATGATAAATGCAATACAACTTAGAATACATACATATTTGAGCTAAAGAATCCCGAAAAAATTATAGACTGACTTGTGTAGTGCTGCATGAATTTAGCAGTAAGTTTATTCTTCACTTAGTGAAGAAATACATACATGTGTCTGAAGAACAGAAGTGAAAATATATGGAAGAACTAAAATCCTTCAGATGTTTGTGTTTCTGATAATTAGGTCTGAGAGAAGCCGAGAGGGATCCTGATATACACGCACTCACGTGTTCTTTCTAATTCTGTCTGGAGATCTCAGAAATGCAAAAGCTTTGGTCACATTTAGAAAACAAACACATCAGTGCAGCAAAAAAGAGCCACATGAACTAGGACTCTAGAGTTCAGCCTAGATGTGGATAATTTTCAAACTGGAGAGATTAGGCACCAAACCACATGAGATAAGAACTCTTGCAGCTCCTGGGAGCAAGTGACTACCTGGTATTAGGTAGCTGCTCTTGTCTTTTTTTTTTTTTTTTTTGAGACAGTCTTGCTCTGTCACCCAGGCTGGGGTGCAGTGGTGCAATCTTGGCTGATTGCAGCCCCCGCCTCCTGGATTCAAGCAATTCTCCCAGCTTCCTGAGTAGATGGGTCTACGGCTGAATGCCACCATGTCTGGCTAATTTTTGTATAATTTTTAGTAGAGACAGCATTTCACCATGTTGGCCAGGCTGGTCTTGATCTCCTGGCCTCAAGTGATCCGCACGCCTCAGCCTCCCAAAGCTCTGGGATTACAGGCACGAGCCACTGTGCCCAGGCTCTTGTCTTAAACTCCCTAGTAATATAAAAATAACTCCTCATTAAGAAAATCTTAAAAAGAATTAAGGCTTGTCATCTTGATACAGAAAAGAGTCAGGTAAAATGAACACGTAGGCTTGAAGCATCTATTTTGCAACCGGTACCCTCACATTGTTGAGCTTATGTTGATGATGACTTTGGTATCTCACAAGTTGATATCAGCTTATATCTACCCTTCCTGGAATTGCCCAGTTTCTGAAACGAAGGTAGGAAGGGCTGTCGAGCCATCTTGGCTGCTAGGCTCAGTACAGGAACAGAAGACTATAGGAAAGCAGGGCCTGTGTGTCTTGGCTGCAAGCCCATGATTTCTTTCATTCACTCACTGGCCCATTCATTCCTTGCACAAGTATTGAGTGTGTAAATGTATGAAGCTATAGTGATAGCAAAACCCTGCCTTCCTCAAGATGACAACAGAGTTGATCCAGGAGACTAGAACCTGTAGGTGTTATTATAGCAAAAAACGCCTCCCTAGACTTGGTGATGAGGTAGGGAGGAGACACGCAAACACAGTAGAGTTAAAGTGAGCAGAGGCAGGAGGAAGGATTTCTGGCACATTTTTTTTTTTCTCTGACCCAGAGCATCAGAGTTGGAGTAGGGTTGTGGGGAGGAAGAGGGAAAAAAAGGGGACCACTGAAGACTTCCTTTCCCTGAGCTGGTGTGAGGATGATGCTGTGCAGGCTGGTACTGGGCAGCTACATTGGTACTATGTGGTGGGCAGAGCTTCCATGAACTTTTCCTGCTGTGGTTACCTGGGTTTGGGAAAGACTCACCTTCTTTCCTACTCTGATTTTTCTGCCTTTTTTCTTTTTTTGAGACGGTGTTTCACTCTTTTGCCTAGGCTGGATTGCAAGGGCGCAAACTCAGCTCATTGCAATCTCTGCCTCCCTGGTTCAAGCAATTCTCCTGCCTCAGACTCCCAAGTAGCTGGTATTATGGGTGCTTGCCACCATGCCCAGCTAATTTTTGTATTTTTAGTAGAGACGGGGTTTCACCATGTTGGCCAGGCTGATCTTAAACTTGTGGCCTCAGGTGATCCACCTGCCATGGCGTCCCAAAGTGCTGGGATTACAGGCATGAGCCACTGCGCCTGGCTGCTTTATTCCTTTCTCATTTTCCCCCCCTTGGTTGTCTGTTTTCTCTCCTTCTATCCCCTTTTACTCTCTTTTGTCTTTTCTCTCTCTTTTCTTCTTTCTTTGCTTCCTTTCTATTATTTTACTACCTTTTCTTTCCCTTTCTTTCTCCATTTCTCTTTCTTTCATTTTTAAAAACCTCCTCTTCTCCTCATCTTTAATCTCACTTTTTCCCTAATTCTCCTCACCCCCAACTCTTTTATTTCCTTCTGGTTTTTCCTCCAGGCCTTTCTCTTTCCTCTCACAGTTTTATTGCTGCAGACAAATGTGCTTGTCGAAGGCCTGCCGGTCCCCTTCCTACCCATCTGTGTGCACACACATCTTTATCGAATTTGTAACTTAGCCTCATTTCACACCTTGATGCTGGACCCCAGCCCTGTGAATTTAGAAATGGGGACCTTTAGACAGGTACAAAACCAAGGCTGGGAAACAATGCTCTGAGTACTTTGGCTCCCTGTATTCAACAGAATTCTCCCTTTTCCAGTTCCTGCCTTTATAACTACCTCTGCATTCAACAAGGAGAGAACACGACAAGCTGTGTCTCCACGCTGGTCTACACACACAGAGGATGCCGGGTAAATTCGTGTGTGTGTTTTTTTTTTTTAATCACGTTTTTCCAATTGTATAGTCAAGTCCGTGCAAGAGAGTCAACTTGGTTTATGTTTTCTTCTGTTACTTTCTCTTTGACTTCAGCTAAAATATGACTCTTCATCAGAGTTGGGGAAATACTTGCCCCCTCCTGATTTTTGTGGGGCTATAAAGATGTATCTACCTCTCAGGTCCAATCTCCAACAAGAAACAAACTATATACAGACAAGATTATGTTACGATCTTATTTTATCAATCATACGAAGGATGCTTCTCTTACAGTCTTTATGGACCTTAGACTTCAGCACCACCTCTGTTTGGTAAATTTGAAAGTGACACACACTTCAACTCAGAGGCTTCTTACGGAAACCTATTGGCACAGGCTGGAAGTACCTTCATGCTCAGCTGAAGTCCATTCTTCTGCTATCAGATAAGGACTGCCAGACAGCTGCACACTCAGGTCCTCACACTGCCCTCACTAGCATAACACCTTGGACAACTTGTTCCACCTCAGTTTTTTCTTCCTAAAAAATGAGACTGGTAATAACCTACCACATGAGGTTGGTCTGTGCATTTAATGAGAACATAGCATTGAAGAGATGCCTGAGGCTGGGCCTGGTGACTCACACCTGTAATCCCAGTGCTTTGGGAGGCTGAGGCAGGAGGATTGCTTGAGCCCAGGAGTTTGAGACCAGCCAGAGCAACATAGTGAGAAACCCATCTCTAAGAAAAATAAATAATAATAACAAAAAGAGCTGTCTGGGCTTAGCTGTCTGAAATTGATTGAAGCCACATTGTAGAATTTCTTACCCCAATAACTGAAGGTACATGTTACCTTTCGTGACTAATTAACTGTACCTATCATTGTTAAAGATCTTTAAAGCAGATTCTTCAAACACTTCCCATTTAACCCATTGCAACTCACAATTTTGTGGGTAAGAAATTAGACCATGGAACTGAAAATGCAACAAGTTTCTGCTACAATACTCAGAGTTTTTACTATGTCCTGTTTCCTTAAAGAATTGGAAAGCTGCGTTGAAGTACAGATTTCTAAAATATTCCTCACGTCTGGATGCTCCCCTGTAGCTTTCAGTGTCTAGTCACATGTAATGTTAGAGTTTTCCACAGCTCAATTTAAGGTGACGCTAACTTCTGTCAGAAAAGTATGTCTCAGCTTCCCACTTCTGCTTTCACCTGTGATGCCCAATGTAACTGTGATGATTGACTTCAAGTCAAAGCGCATCATCGTTACTCCAGACCGTGCAAATGAGGTGGGTGGAGAGGGTGGGGAAGATCCTGGGTACTTTTGTGGGGCAGAACAGCAGAGGTGCTCGCGTGGGTGTCAAGGGCTAGCCCTCCTGGGCTCATGTTTTAGGGTTCTTGGGCTCAAGCAACTGCTTGTTCAATTTATAGAATTCCTTAAGGTTAGCAAAATTACCAAGGGATGGGTTTCTACAAAAACCTGGACTTCTGGGCACAATTTAGTAATCTGATTAGACAGGATACAGGAGATCCAAGCTTCTGCACATTTATACTGCCCAGAGAGCTCAATGGTGGACTGAAAAATGGCACAAAGGTTCTCTGTGTTTGTCAGTAGTATTTCACCATGGCTCAGGGAATGACAAACCCTAAAGGTATTCTGTAATTGACACATAACTTGTGAAGATACTCTCACTACCTGCTCCAGTTGGCCAAATGCCCTTAGAGGTGACAGGCTTCCTAAGGCTTTCTACAGCGTTAGGCCACTGCTCATTACAGCAAGTGTCATTGTTACTTCTTTTGCTCTAGATACTGTATGGAGTTTAAGACAGAGTCCTTGACCCCTCATTGTGCTCTGGAAAACCGGCCCCTGACAAGATGGATGCAGTATCTCCGAGAGGGATACACGGTGTGTGTGGATTGTCAGCCTCCAGCTATGAACTCTGTGAGCCTCCGTTGTTCTGGAGATGGCCTGGACTCTGATGGGTAAGGAGAAAAATTAACTGAAGTACTTTTCTTGTCACTCATTCTGAGACATCTGTCCTCTCCATGTCCGGAACAGTGGACCAATATGCAACATATCAAGGCATGATTTAGGAAGTCAAAACAGTAGGTGGGGAGGACCATCCTTCTGGCACTGCCAAGCGCCAGGGCTCCAGTTCCCACTATGGAACCCAGGGGCCCTATACACTGGCAGAGAACATGGGTTCATTTGGATATTGGGGGCTGGGAGTGGCGGCTCATGCCTGTAATCCCAGCACTTTGGGAGGCTGAGGCAGGTGGATTGCTTGAGCTCAGGAGTTCAAAACCAGCCTAAGCAACAGGGTGAAACTCCATCTCTACAAAAAATACAAAAATTAGCCAGGCATGGTGACACATGCCTGTAGTCTTAGGTACTGGGGAGGCTGAGGCAGGAGGATCACTTGAGCCCAGGAGGCAGAGGTTACAGTGATCCGAGATCCCACCACGGCACTATGGCATGGGTGACAGAGCCAGACCCTCTCTCCAGAAAAAAAAAGGGATATTGGAGTTCAGAGACAGTCCCAAATGATCACCAAAAACCTGATCACCCAAAGTGGTGTTCTAAAGATCACTAGAATCAGAATCTCGTGATTCTGAACCTCATTTCCAGCTAACTGAATCAGACTCTTTGGAGATGGATTTTTCTTTTTTTTTTTTTAGATGGAGTCTCGCTGTCGCCCAGGCAGGAGTGCAGTGGCGGTGGGTCTTTAATAATGTCTTAGGTCAGGAGCCAGAAAACTTTTTCTGCAAGGGGCCAGAACATAGATATTTTTGGCTTTTCAGGCTGTGTGGTCTCTGTGACAACTTCTCAACTCTCATTTTGTAGCAGGAAAATAGCCACACACATGCAAACCTTGGCTTTGTTCTAACAAAACTATGGACTCTAAAATTAGAATTTCATGTAATTTTCTTGTGTCATTAAATACCATCATTGTTTTGATTTTAAGACTTTAAAACATAGAAATTAGTCTTAACTCGCAAAGAAGGGGAAGGCTGGCTTTGGCCTCTACAGGGTCCTAGTTTGGGGACTCCTGCCCAGGTAATTCATCCCCACAGTGAAGTTTCAGAACTGTTGCTGAATGGGGCTTCTTTATAAAACCCTGGCTGAGACAGCGGTGGGCTCATCTCTACAGTGTAATAATCTTATATGCATCTATAGATTTCTCTGAAAGAATTGACTCCAAAAACATTTTACCACCATGCACATGTATCCCAGTTCTGCATTTATTTAGTGTTTAAAGTTGATAACAGTATTCAAAACTAAAAGCAGAGTCAACTTCGTGATGAGCAACTATTGGGCAAAGACTCTTTTAGGTCACACATTGATTCTGGTTTTCAGTATGTCAGGTGGAACTGGTAGAAATACAGATTAAAAAGTAAAATATGGGCCTTTCCAGTCAATTATTATTCCTGTAGAATGTTTTCATATTTAATAACTTGAATTTATGTTTATTAGTCACTAGTGCCTTGTGGCCTCCATTGAGCATACCATATGAACAATAAAGTGGGTAAGGAATTTATATCAAATAGAAAATATTTACATAATATTTTCTGAATACCTCATCCATGTTTTGATTTTAAATGAATTTATAATTTAATTTGTATCCATAAAGTATTTAAACCCTGGCTGAGGTAGGAGTGACCTTAAAAATAATAATTTTAATAATCTGGCTTTGCTCTTTTCAGTTCCCTTGTTTTTTTTTTTAATCATAAAATCAAAGAGTTGGAAAGCATTAAAAGAGATCATTTGGTTCAGACCCCCAATTAAAATATACATGGAACTGTCAGTCATTTTCCTTTATGCAGCACTTGTACTCAGATAGAGGGGAAAAGCAAATACAGTAACCACAAGCTACTCTCTCAACATGAAGGTGTCCTAAAGTAGCGATTAATTAAAACTTGCTTTGAGGCCGGGCGCGGTGGCTCACGCCTGTAATCCCAGCACTTTGGGAGGCCGAGGCGGTTGGATCACGAGGTCAAGAGATCGAGACCATCCTTAGTGAAACCCCGTCTCTACTAAAAATACAAAAAAATTCACTGGGCATGGTGGCGCGTGCCTGTAATCCAGGCTACTTAGGAGGCTGAGGCAGGAGAATTGCCTGAACCCAGGAGGCGGAGGTTGCGGTGAGCCGAGACCACGCCATTACACTCCAGCCTGGGTAACAAGAGCGAAACTCTGTCTCAAAAACAAAACAAAAACAAAAACAAAAACAAAAAAACTTGCTTTGACAGAAACTAAAGAAGGGAAACTTTGTTTGTGATCATTAAAAAAAAAAAAAAAATTGAGGAACTGGGTGTGGTGGGTCACGTCTCTAATCCCAGCATAAGCCAGGAGACCCAGGCAGGAGGATAACCTTGGACCCAGGAGTTTGAGACCAGCTGGGTAACGTAGTGAAACTCCATCTCTACAAATAATTTTTCTTTATAAAAGTTAGCCAGACGTGGTGGCATGCACCTGTGGACCCAGCCATCTGGGAGGCTGGGGTGGAAAAATCACTTGAGGCCAAAAGTTCAAGGCTGCAGTGAGCCATGACCATGCCACTGCACTACAGCCTAAATCGCAGAGGGAAAGAAAGAAAAGAAAAAAAGAACGAAGGAAGGAAGGAAGGAGGGAAAGAAATGTGATAACACAGAGTTTTCAAGTGCATTACAATTTTTTTTTTGAGACAGGGTTTCACTCTGTCACCCAGGCTGAAGTGCAGAGGTGAGATCATGACTCACTGTAGCCTCCAACTCCTGGGTTCAAGCAATCCTCCTACCCCAGCCTCCCAAGACCATAGGTGGGTGCCACCATGTCTGGCTAATTAAAAATAATTTTTTGATAAATTAGCTGGGCATGGTGGTGCATGCCTTTAATCCCAGCTACTCAGGAGGCTGAGGCAGGAGGATTGCCTGAACCCAGGAGGCGGAGGTTGCGGTGAGCTGAGATCGTACCATTGCACTCCAGCCTGGGTAACATGAGTGAAACCCCATATCAAAAAAAAAAAAAAAAAAATAATAATAATAATTTTTTGTTTTGTATAGATGGGGTCTCACTATTTTTGTTTTGTATAAATGGGGTTAAATTAAAAAATTTTAATTTTTTTAAATTCAAGTTTTAATTCTGTAAATTAGACTTTTCCTTGGTATGCTTTTAGTGTAACTAACATTTTCAAAATATCATTTCAGAAATCAGACTCTCCATTGGCAAGCAATTGGTAATCCTCGATGTCAAGGAACTTGGAAAAAAGTTCGGCGAGTAGACCAGTGTTCTTGTCCAGCTGTTCACAGTTTTATTTTTATATAGATGGTGATGTAAATATTTCCAAATGCATTTGTAAACGTGCTAAATACTCTCAAGTCATGTTCAATGCTTCCTAAACCTTCAATTTTGGCCAAAGTCCCTGAACACATCATTGCCACACTCCGAAGCAGAGAAAGAAAATTTAGGGGTCAGTTCTCAGGGAACACAGGTCCTCTATTTTTATTTTAACTAAGTTGGAAGACCCATTCAAAAAGCTCCTGTGGTTTTATGTTCTTGACCTTTCATCTGGAGTCCTCTGATTCAGCAGGTGGCCGGTGGGACACAGAATACATGTCTGTTTGCTAAAGTAAAATTACTGCAACTCAGTCCAATTATTGGTGATGGAAATGTCATTTAAGGGGAGCTATGTTTTGAATCTTGCAGTCTTTTTATTTTATAATCTTTTAAAAGCTTCTCACCTTAAAAAATGTATACAGATATGTACACTCTGACACATATATTTCCATACATTTATTATTCCATAAATTCTGCAATAATTTCAAGCAAATTATCACAAATGATTTTTCCACAGGACAAATAATTTAAAATTTTAGTAAGCATTCTGTAATGAAAAACCAACTATACTAAAAACATTTTTTGAAGAAAAAATTTTTTTTTGGTTAAGTGAAAGGATCAAATGCTTATTCTAGGTCAAGGAGTTCTTTCAAATGTTATAATTTTCATGAAGAGAAATGCTGGCACCAATGAATGAAACAATTGCTTTCATTTCGAAAATTCTACTACATTTGTATCTAAGATTATTTCCAAGGCTTAAAGCCTTAAGCTGAATAACATAATCTTTCAGAGTCCAACTTCAAGTTTAGTTGACTTAAGCTCACTCTTTTTTTCCTATCACGTGCATTTTCTGATGTTTGGAGTGGATGGTATGTGGATTATGGAAGGCATAGACTTCATTACAGATGCTATGATCTCACACACACAAGTTAATATTAGTCTCCCTATTTTATGACTGGAAAATCAATGAACTAGAGGCAAAATGGCATGTTTAAGGACCTGAGGTGACAAACCATTCTGTAGTCAGCCACAGAGCCAAATTTAGACTTCTCATCCAGGACTCCATGAAAAGCCTGATTTTGCCAAACACTGTGTTGGAAAAGCTAAGCCCCTTTCATTTTTGAAGTAAATTTTAAATTCAGGATATTTAGAGAATTGAGTCTTGCGATGTAAACTATATGAAATGCCTTTGGTTTCAATTAAATAATATTTACTAACAAATGATTTACTAAAATACATATTTCTTGGTCCTTATCATGTAATGACAGACTGACAACAGCAATAGGGATGGGAATTTCCCCAATAATTAATAACACCGAGAGTAGCAATATTTCTGACTATATTTTCATTTAATTGTCAAAGTTGTTTTTGTGGAAAGTTAAATTATTCGGAAATTAATAATAAAATATGTGAGTCTCATCAAGGCTGGAAACTTCAAGTCAGTATTAACCTTTTCATACTATTTCTAACATTTATAAAGCTAGATTTTTGAAGCTATGTCTGGGTAATTTCCAATGTTACTTAAAATTTTTATACCAGTAAATAAATGTTTTGTTCACATTTATAAAAGCTCTATACTTATTTGACTAGAAAATAACCCAAATTTTCTGGACTAGTCAGAGAATGATAAAATTTCACCAAAAACAAAACAAAAAATCCTTCAGAATGGATAGGTATGGGTACAATGACTACTAACAGCAATAAAGCTATGATGCATTTATGGTTCCAATGTGTTGTAATATTTAACATAATTGAATTGTATAAAATAAAATTTTCACCTTATGCATTTAATTTTTGGTGGATGACCAGTAATTGCTTTCTTATTGAGGTTTTTTTTAAATTTCTATTCTTGAGAAAATTTTATGGGCTAGAGGAGTTAAATGTTAACTAACAGTTTTGAAAGGCTTGTTATTAATTTCAGCAAAGCTCAAGGGAAATACTTCAGAATTGAAACATGTAGTCCAAGTGATGAACAAAAAACCAAAAGTTTTTATTTTCAAAGTTAAAAATCAAAGCATATAAGACTTCTTGGCATTCTTTTTTAATGAGTACCTTAGTCTTAGAGCTGTATCCCCAGGTATTCCACAAAGATTTACGAACTCTAGAATCCCTTAATAGACTGATTTTCAAAAGTGCATGTGGAAAAGAATTTGAACAAAAATAAATACAGCCACCAAGAAAGAAGGGGAAAGAAGCTAGGGATAATGGCTTTTTTTGAAAAGAAAAGAAAAATAAGCGAAGGAAAAAAAAGAGTAGAAAAAGGACTAAGGTGAACTGTAATCACAGTACTCTTTTTAAAGTCTTGCTTCGGTTTTTATTTGAGAATGTTACAATTAAGCATAAACCACAACAGTAATAAAGTGTTTGGTTCTCATCTGGCATAAAAATTTCAGTTAACTATCTTTTCTAGATATGCAAAAAAATGATGTTAATAAAACTGGTTCCTGCCCTCTAAGAATATTCTAGTGAAGGTTCATACAAACAACCACAGGTTGGCTTACAAAGCAAAGACCTGGGCCTTCTGAGATCCAAGCAATCAGACGAAGAGCACCGTGAGGGAGAAGGTCACACTCTAGGTCAGGGAGACAGACACATGTTTACCCTCTCTCCTTCCTCAAATCCCACTCAAGTGACAGGATTCACAGAAGAGAATAAGTCCATAGCAGATGAGAAGTGGGGTGGGCAGAATCAGCCCACAGATTTTGAATTATTTTTTTGAAGATTGAAAGCAAATAAGAATATACTGATAGATGAACCAGAATAAAGAGGCCATACCCTTTAACACAGTTACAGAAGCTAGAATCAGAGGTGAGAGCCATTCTTGGTGGTGGTGGGGGGGGGGTTCCCACCAAGCACCAAATGATGAATAAAAAGACTCTCACTCCTAGAGACAGATTTGTGAAATTGAAAATGAAGGATAAGGAAAAGACCATAAAACCTTCCAGAAAGAGAACAACATATTACCAGTAAAGGAACAGGAGGCCACATGAAGACAGTACTTTTCTCATCAGCATCAGTGCATGCTTAAAGCCTAACAGAAGAAAGCCTCTAAGCTCTGAGGGAAAATGAATGTGAAACTAACATTCAATAGCAGGCATCACTAATAAAGTGTAAAAGCAACATACAGACTTTTAGAGGCACAAGGATCGGAAGCTTTATTAAAAGGTCCAAAGCAGGACATTCTGTTTTCCAGTTAAACATGACAGGTTGGACACATGTTTACATCTCAATTTCTGATAAAATTACAGTTAAGAGATTTTAAAAGCCACCCCACCCCACTCCACCAAAACAACAATAAAGTCCATATGTAATGAGAAGGAGGTCAAGAGAAAAAACGCAGAAGAGATGGCCACAACATTTCAGGACCAGAAAAGAAGATGGCTATTAAAATCAGAGGAGAAAGCCAAACACCTAGATCTATGGGTGAATCTATGGGTGAGTAAGCGGGGTCATTTCTAGCACCCTGGAAAGGCTCTGGAATGGAAGGTTCCAGGTATTTCCTTCAATTGAATGAATGGCTGATGGTTCGTCTAAGAAGTTAGAGCCTTAGATTCCCTGCCCCATGCTGCAGGTCAACAGCCTGACAGAAGGTTCAGTCTATGGAGGTTTCCAGATTGGAAACACCAGTCATAAGGACTGAGAATGAAGCCTGAATGAGTCTCTTTTCTGACTGCAGACTCCTGGTTCCCTTTTCCATGTGCTCTGATAATATTGCAAGCAGGGATAGATATGCCCCTCCTTCACTCCCTCACTGCTACTCTCATCCCCACACACAAGTTTGTTAGATTCCTCTCTGAGGAAGTGGATTATTCAAGAGAAATGACTATAGTTGTTGACAGCTGAGGATCCCCTAATGAAAGAGCCAATCCCTGTCTGATCACCACACGGGCATATCTCTACCTGGATGTCTTTGTTCAGGCTGCTATTTAAAAAATACCATAGATGGGGTGGTTTAAACAACTAACATTTATTTCTTACAGCTCTGGACGCTGGAAAATCAAGATGAAGATACCACTAGATCTGATGTCTGGTGAGAGCCCTCTCCTTGGTTTGGAGATGGATGCCTTCTTGCTGTCTTCACATAGCAGGGAGAGAGACAGAGGGAAAGAAAGAGAGAGAGAGAGAGAAGAAGAGAGAGAAGAGAGATGGGGCAGGAAGAGAGAGAAAGAGGAAAGCAAGCAGGGAAAGCTTTTTCATGTCCCTTCTAACAAGGGCACTAATTTTATCATGAGGGCTCTATCCTCATGACTTAATTACCTCCCAAAGGCCCATCTTCAACTCCAAGTTCCCTCATATTTGGGATAAAGGTTTGAACGTATGAATTCTGGGGGGACACAACCATGTAGTCTAAAACATTTGACATGCCCCATCAGTGCTCACAGAACTTGAATCAGCTTTTTTATTTGAATAAACTGCCTGAATAATGAAAAGTTTTCATTGTGGAGTATCAGGAAATAAAGTTCTGTCACTTACCAAATCAATTTTGGGCAAGTCAAAATAACTGAAGCACGCAATTAATAAAGTAGACAACCCAAGAGAAAAAAAAAGGATGGCTCAAGCCTGTAATCCCAGCACTTTGGGAGGCCGAGGCGGGTGGATCACGAGGTCAAGAGATCGAGACCATCCTGGTCAACATGGTGAAACCCCGTCTCTATTAAAAATACAAAAAATTAGCTGGGCATGGTGGTGCGTGCCTGTAATCCCAGCTACTCAGGAGGCTGAGGCAGGAGAATTGCCTGAACCCAGGAGGCGGAGGTTGCGGTGAGCTGAGATCGTGCCATTGCACTCCAGCCTGGGTAACAAGAGCGAAACTCCATCTCAAAAAAAAAAAAAAAAATACCACTCTGCCTGTTAATACTACCATTCTAATTAATAATACCATTCATCAAGGTTCTGCAAGAATTAAATGAGATAACCCATGCAAAACAAAACATTACACAAATTTGGGCTAAAAGAGATGTGAGTTCCTTGAGGACTTATGTGGAAAGGGCAAAATGAATATATATTTATTTAAATTATGACTTGTAAATACCATAAAAACATTGGAAAATTATTACTCTTTTCCTTCGAGAGTTGTAGGTCATATAAATCACTGCACTTCTTGAGTCAAATTGTCTTCATTTTTTTGCTCTTTCAATATAGGACAGATTTAAATGAAAACTTACTTTAATGTTATTTTTTACACCAACAGTGTAAAAGTGTTCCTATTTCTCCACATCCTCTCCAGCATCTGTTGTCTCCAGATTTTTTAATGATCGCCATTCTAACTGGCGTGAGATGGTATCTCAATGTTGTTTTGATTTGCATTTCTCTGATGACCAGTGATGATGAGCATTTTTTCATATGTTTGTTGGCCTCATGTATATCTTCTTTTGTAAAGTGTCTGTTCATATCCTTTGCCCGCTTTTGAATGGGCTTGTTAGTTTTTTTCTTGTAAATCTGTTTTAGTTCTTTGTAAATTCTGGATATCAGCCCTTTGTCAGATGGGTAAACTGCAAAAATTTTTTCCCAATCTGTTGGTTGCCGATTCACTCTAATGACTGTTTCTTTTGCTGTGCAGAAGCTGTGGAGTTTGATTAGGTCCCATTTGTCTGTTTTGGCTTTTGTTGTCAATGCTTTTGGTGTTTTGGTCATGAAGTCCTTGCCTACACCTACGTCCTGAATGGTTTTGCCTAGATTTTCTTCTAGGGTTTTTATGGTGTTAGGTCTTATGTTTAAGTCTTTAATCCATCTGGAGTTAATTTTAGTGTAAGGTGTCAGGAAGGAGTCCAGTTTCTGCTCTCTGCACATGGCTAGCCAGCTTTCCCAACACCATTTATTGAACAGGGAATCCTTTCCCCATTGCTTGTTTTTGTCTGGTTTGTCAAAGATCAGGTGGTTGTAGATATGTTGTGTTGCCTCCGAGACCTCTGTTCTGTTCCATTGGTCTATATCTGTGTTTTGGTACCAGTACCATGCTGTTTTGATTACTGTAGCCTTGTAGTATAGTTTGAAGTCTGGTAGTGTGATGCCCCCCGCTTCATTCTTTTTGCTTAGAATTGACTTGGCTATGCGGGCTCTCTTTTGGTTCCATATGAAGTTTAAGGTGGTTTTTTCCAGTTCTGCAAAGAAGGTCATTGGTAGCTTGATGGGGATAGCATTGAATCTGTAAATTACTTTGGGCAGTATGGCCGTTTTCACGATATTGATTCTTCCTAACCATGAACATGGAATGTTTCTCCATCTGTTTGTGTCCTCTCTTATTTCATTGAGCAGTGGCTTGTAGTTCTCCTTGAAGAGGTCCTTTACATTCCTTGTTAGTTGTATTCCTAGGTGTTTTATTCTCTTTGTGGCAATTGTGAATGGAAGTTTGTTCTTGATTTGGTGTATAGGAATGCATGTGATTTTTGCACATTGATTTTGTATCCTGAGACTTTGCTGAACTTGCTTATCAGTTTCAGGAGGTTTGGGGCTGAGACGATGGGGTCTTCTAGATATACAATCATGTCGTCTGCAAATAGAGACAATTTGACTTCCTCCTTTCCTATTTGAATGCCTTTACTTCTTTTTCTTGCCTGATTGCTCTGGCTAGAACTTCTAATACTATATTGAATAGCAGTGGTGAGAGTGGGCATCCTTGTCTGGTGCCACATTTCAAGGGGAATGCTTCCAGTTTTTGCCCATTCAGTATGATATTGGCTGTTGGTTTGTCATAAATAGCTTTTATTATTTTGAGATACATTCCATCGATACCTAGCTTATTGAGGGTTTTTAGCATAAAGGGCTGTTGAATTTTGTCAAAGGCCTTCTCT